AAATTTGGGGTTGCCTTTTTTTCTTAATGCTCTTGTTTCGTATTTTTTCTTTCCTGATTCAGCTTTTAATTTTGAAACTTCGCATTTTCTTTCAGTTTTTCATGCTTAGGTGTTTTTGAAGCTCCAAAAGGAATAGAAACATCACTACTAGCACGCAAAAAGATAATGATAAAAAATAGGGAAAATCATTATTCTAGAAGAAAGTAAATTGTTGTCTTGTTTGACTACTTTGTAAGTTTCCTTGTGTGGAAACCAAATTTGATTTTAGTTCTATATTTTATTAGGAAGTTGTTTCAAATTTCCTTTTAATGAAGGAAAGCAAATTTAATTTTGCTTTTATATTTTATTAGAGTGTGTTTGGGATCAAGTTTTGTGATCCCAAACTGACTTTTCACTAGCAAAACTAGCTTCTGGCCACAATTTTTTGTTTGGAATCACGATGGAAAAAAAATGAGCTCTATGAAAATAAGTAGCTTTTTGTTAAAGTCATCTTTTGTTACTTGGGAGATGCATCACGGTGGGATGGGAAAAAATGAGCTTTATGAAATGGGATACTCTCTTTCTCTTGTCTCAAAAGAAGTGCCATTTGCATAGAAAATGACCATGCTATCCACATTTATTTGTTGTATATAATAAAATTTATATCTTTTTCAGTCATTTTACATTCAAACTTACTTTTTCATTAATCATCCAAATAAGTCTCAACTTTTCAAACTGATTTTTTTACAAAACTCAATCCAAACATAAATCACATTACACTATCTGACTTTTATCAAATCTGACTTCTATAAAAGTCAGATTGAAAAAAAAAATTTACTTCTCCACCGCTAATCCAAACACATTAGAAAGTTATCATCAAGTTTCCTTCCTGTGGGGGGAACTAAGTTTGATTTTGCTTCTAGTAATAAGTTGTTACCTAGATTACTTTATCTATAAATAAGAGTAGGAGGGTTATGTATTGGAGGCATTTGGATGAATGAAAATTTGAGCTTTTGAAATCTCTCCCTTTCTCTCCCTCTTCAAATTCTCTCCCTCCCTATATTCTATTCTATTCTCCCTCAATTTCTATTCTCCCTCTCCATTCTGTTCATTCCCTATATTCTATTCTATTCTCCCTCAATTTTTATTCTCTCTCTCCATTCTGTTCATTCGCTCTCTGTTTCTCCCTCTCCCACTTCTGTTTTTTTTTTCTCTTCCCCTTAAATCATTTCAGGTTGCATCTAATCAAATTTGTGTGATTGTGTTTTGCATCAGATATACATGTTGGGAGAATTACAATAAGATCCCAAGAAAGAAAAATAATTATTAAAAAGTTCTAATAATAACCTAAACAGTTTGTAATAATAAGTTTCAGAATAGTTTCAGAGTAGTAAACGACAACTTCTGAAATTTCTTTTGTAATTATTTTCTCTCCTTGGAACTTCATTATAATTCTCCCAACATGTTCTACACAATGAAAATATAATTCTGACTTATGTATCAGATTATTCAAAGTCTTAGTTGAGGACAATAGATCAATGAATGGAGAGTAGAGACTTCTAGAGAATGGAGTAAATTTGTTGAGGACTATAAATTAGAAAATGCAGGCTCTTAGTGTTTAAATGTGTCAGATTATTCAAAGTTCAAGATCAAAATCTATGGCACAACATGCTGCGAGAATAGTATTCTGGCGTCTGGAAAAGCTTTATTTGAAAGTCAGTTTGACAACTTTTCATCATCCCTGGTTCATGGATAATTATTTCCTGTGAATAAAATTATCCGTAATGAACCAAATAACCCAATACTTTTTACTGAGATACTACTACCGCTCCTTAATATAAGAACTAGTTAACTAACTTAAGTAAATTAAGAAAATTAGTTATGTTAGTTATTTGTAAAAAATAAATATTGTTTTTATTAAAATATTTTTGCTAATTAAGTGTACTAACTAGAATTACCATTATTATAAGGATTACATTGAAAAAAATTGATAAATATGATAGACAAAATAGATTGGGATCTTATATTTAAGATCAAAATAAAAGTCAAATGAGATTTTATATTAAGCACCGGAAGTAGTATCATTTAACATGACTCTAGATCTATTTTGTTTCAGCTCGTGATTTCCGCTATTTTGACAAGGGATGTAAAATCATTTTAGTACTTCGTCTTTTAAGTAATCATTTTTATAATTAACTCATACTCTTCTATTGACTGTTCGCCCCATTTGTTTTCACTTTGGTAATTAAAGTGTGTGATTCCTTTTTTGTACAGCTTGGCGGCCCTCTGTTGTTGCTGTGCTAGAGGTGTGCTGCCTTTTTTGGATTATCAGAGAGTTGTTTCTTTAGTTTGTTGAGCTTGATTATAGCTCTATGGAGAAATTTTGCTCGATGGTTAATGTTTTGGGATGAGTTTTAATATTTTGATTGTCTTGATTGTTTTATTTAGGCTGAAATCTTGCCCCAAAAAAAAGGGAGCAAATTGAGGTCCACCAACCCAGTTCATCAAGTCTAGTACAGCCATTTGGGTTGCTATTGGATCATACAGACCATGCACTAGCTTCTTTAGCCCAGAGTCTTATCTAGACCAGAGGTCGGGTTAATGACTAACACTGTTGGCCTCACACCCCTGTTAAAAGCCACAAGCCTAAATGGGTGTTGGCAATTAGGAGCTCTTAATGTGCAGAATTTTTTTTGAGGAAAAACAACACCAAATAGAGACAAAAAACATCATTTAACATAATTACTCCCTGTTCCTATTTATAAGAGATACTTTCTTGAAAGGGCATCTTTTTCTTTATAAGAGACACTTTAGAGATATTTAGACATTTAGTGCTTTTTTTCCCCTCATATTTATCCTCAATTAATTACATATCTCCCATTTCTTTTTCCACTTATTTTCTCTCCCACCTATATTTTCCATAAATAATGGTTTTTTTGGAAAATAAATTGCATTTTTTTGTATATTTATTACTTCTAACTAATTTAAATAAATTTTTAATCAATGTGATTTGGTTACTCTTATAAAAAGAAATAGGAGGAGTAATAAAGAAGAGAACACAAAAATGAGAAAGGAATCGGTCAATAAACATGAAAACACAGGCCAACAAAAGCCATATCGCAGCGAGTGATCCAACTATGTTACAGAAACATAAAAGCTTAGCCTTTGCCCTAATTCTAAACATCAAATCAAAATCATCCATATTATAGGATTGCTGAAGAACAAGTTCTATAACGCAAATGTTCTTGTACGGAGTAATCTGTTACATGCAGAAAGAAAAGTGGTAAGCACTAGAATTATTCTTACAAGAATGTCTTGACAAATCTAACTTTAGTAAATATATATTTGCCAACAAGAATTAATCCAGTTAGTAGTCGTGAATTTGAACCTTATTGATAGGCGATGTATAAGTGTCTTTGTAAACGTTTTCTGAGTTTGGAGACATATTTTGGCCCTAATGAAGCCCCATAACCAACTTACCTAAACTTCATATAACCAAAACATATATATATATATATATAAACTATATTTGCTGTCCCAAGTATAATTATTGGTCACTTTGTTTATTACGAAAGAGAGAGTAACACTTGTATTATTAACTAATCAACTACTTAATAGACTAATGATTCTCCCTAATAGTGACACGTAACAATTACCAGTGACCGGCTAGAGGAGCAACGGCCAGAAGACTGGCTTTGATGCCATTTATTATGAAAGAAAGTAACACTTGTATTCCAATCACTAATCAAGTCTCATGCTCGTACAATTGGGAGTATTTATACTTGATCTCTCCCCTGACTACTTGATTGCTATGTAACATAAGTGGTTATTGCCACTTATATTATTAGTTAATCAACTACGTATTAATAGACTAATGGCTGTCCCTAATATTGCCACTTAACACTCTTCTTTCCACCATGCCAACAACTATACTACGTTTCACTTAATAGATGTTAATTTTAACTTAGGAAGATTTATTCACACAAGTAGTACACTATTTCTAGTTTTAATATAAGAACTAGATAACTAATTTTGAGATATTGAGAAAATTAGTTAAGTTGGTTATTTGTTATTAAACTATCCTATTTAATTATGTGCATTAAGTGATTTGAATTATTTCTTAGTAAAAATCCCTGACAATCAATAAGGATATTTTGAGAGAAAATAAGAGACAAACTAGATCGAGATTTTATATTTAGAACCAAATTCAACCGTCCAACTAGCTCTTATATTTAAGACTAGAGCTAGTATTTACCAAAAACTTATGCCTATTAGATTCAATCACATCGTAAAAGTAAATCAATATATACTTTCCATGGTTCATTTCAGCTTTGAGAATTTAATTTTTTTTTTTTTGCTACTTTTGTATTGTGCCTCAAAAATCAAGCTGAAGGGTGATCCACTTAATCCTAAATCCAGAATCCTTCATTCTCTCTAATGTGGAAGCATTAGGAGCTAGAAATTTTTTTTTTGGGGGGGGGGGGACTCAACATAGCTTAGTGGTATTTATTACATCAGATAAATTCCATAACAGTAAAACAAAGTAGAACACGTTTTAGACGTTTGCTTTAGCAGCACAATTATTGAATTTAATACCTCATAGATACTCTTTCTGAATTCTTTTACAGCGCAAACAATAGGAAACGTAGAGGCAAAAATTGAATGGCTTGTGTTATCAAGGGCCTCTTTGGCTGTGGCTTGCATCAGGGATTTAGGCAGTACTGATTTCAACTTGGATAGCGCTTGCTCCTTTACTGTTTTCCTTCAATTGTAACAGAAAATTTCCCCTGATATATGCACGCTAGTTTCTTTTCAATTTAAATGTAGTCTTTGTTTTTTCCCGTGATTAAGTGCCTTTACATGGTTAAGTTTCGGGCTTAAATATTTTCTTTTATTTTGAATATTGGGATTAGATATTCATCTTTAGGCTCTGTATAAAGCCCTAAGCAACTGTTCAGTAAATGCATTTCCTCTAATTCTCTAGAAGTTTTCCTACTCTAACTATAATGATCAAAGCCATCAACTGAAAAACAATCATTAAGTGCAAAATTCAAGATCAAAGGATCGTGGACAATTCTTTACATAGTAAGGCCTAAAATGGGAGGAAAACTGACATCACATACATACAAACATATGATCTTCAAGCTTATTGATGACCATTTTACACAATCATTGCTGGATCTATTAATGACTCAGATCTGTCCACTCAGATAATTTTTTGTCTTGCCTGCATAAGTAAGTGAACTTATGATACAAGTACATTGTGTTAAACTTCAACAAAAAGTATCATCAACTTTAGAGGATCTAAATTACTCTATCTAAGAGCTGCTTAGCTTTCCACAATCAAAATCAGCTGCCTTTAATAGAAAACCAGCTAGGTATGCAGCCAGAAACTTGTCTCTGCAAAAGGAGACCAATTTGGATTTACCCTGCTGAATAATGCCTGACATATAAGCCGCAAAGATGATATTTGCGCTTCTCCATCGTCTCTCATCGGCATATTTTTTCAAGCTCGCCTCAATCCTCTTGTATTGTTCCTCCTCTTGTTCTCCGTTCTTGTTTCTGTTATCTCCACCTGATTTTGTGCAAAAGACCTCACCAAGACACCGAGCTAAAACAACCCCATCTTCTAAAGCACAACACCCACCTTGGCCAAGATCAGGGGTCATAGGGTGGAATGCATCTCCAGCAACACACACGTTGCTTTTATTGATATTTCCAAATACTAGTTCCCAAGGATGTCTATATCGCAATGGAGATGATAAGATATCATCCAAATCAGTATTTTCTATGAAGTTTCTAGCTTCACTAGGTATATTCTTCAGCTTCTCTAACACAAATTGCTTCATTTTAGCCGGGTCCTCTTGCAGCTTCTTTTCTGCAAGGGAAGTCAAGTAGATGAGCATGCATTGCACTTGCATTTATTAACATATACTTGATAAATTTTAGGCATATTGAATGAAATGTTACACAGAAAGATGATTTGGAAAATAATCTCAATAACAGGAAATCACTGCTCGGTTATTAGCTGGCCAATGCAAAGCTCTACACTTGCTTATATTAATGCACCAATGGATACAGATGTTGGCATAAATCATTACTTCAGTATTTAAAAACAAAAGTTTTTTGAGGGATTTGGCATATCTTCTTGATTTTTGGTATATCACTGTCAAGTGACAAGAAGCATAAAGAAATGAAGAAACCTTTTTTTCTTTTTCGTCTAGGATAAGAAATCTTCAATGTTGACATGCTGCTACCTGGTATATATTTTTTGGTCCGTGGAATCTTGTATGCTAGAAAGAAATACATCTTCATCAAATATTTAAAGGAATAGTAGTGGTCTATTGTTCTGTGAGTCGCAGAGGATTTACCTTGTTCAGTGGGAGCCCAAGTAAAAAACCAATAAACTGTCTTGTCGTCACAGGGAATAATACCATTTCTATAACCGTTTCCAAAGAACTGCATGAACCTGGGTTCCAGATTGTGACTACTCTTTAATGTAATGCACCCTCTAATTCCAGATCTTCCTGAGAAGGCAGCTTTGTTCAAACCAAGCCACTTTGCTACTATTGAGTTCACTCCATCGGACCCAATCAGTACCTGCTCTCTCATGAACAATGATATTATTATTGTTGAGACTTAAGGTCTTGGTTGATCTTAGATATTGTTAATGAACAAAGTGTTACCTTAGTCTTGATGACAGTTCCATCAGCAAGATGAACAAGTTTAGTGAGGCCAGATTCCTCAATAGCTACCACCTTTGAAGAGTACCTGATGGTGCCACTTGGAAGCTCGTTGGCAAGGGCTTCCAACAGTAACTGCCGTCTGACACAACGAACTTCATGGGCCCCACTGCACCGTGCCAAAATTCTGTCAATAGTCTATACAAATACTTCCTCTCTCTCTCTCTCTATTCACCCACACATCTCCACTTGTCACTTATTCTCAATTTTTTTCATATTCACGTATGCATTTTATTTTTAGATACAGAGGATCTAGATCCCCTGATTATAATAGCAACATCAAATATTCTAAGCCAACTAGGGGAACCAACACTGAATGAGTAAATCTAAAATAAAGAAGTTAGTTTCAACCTCAATTATGAACCCTCTAGTACTTATACTGAAATTTTTTCTGTCAACTAAGCTACTGTGGCTTCATCAACCTCAGCCATGTCCTTCTGAATAAGATGTTCCTTATCCATATTTTGCTTCATGAGTGTTGATACTGTTGTTTACAAACTCATATCTCCTGTGCAGTTTTTGCTTACGATCAAGTTATTATATATCATCGTCAAACTCAGGTCTTTAAGATTGAGATAAATTTCATGTTCTTTGTTCTGAACCGTCTTGTAAAACATATTATGTGTAACTGTTTGCAGATGTGCAAGTGGTGGATAATGGAAATGCTACTGATAGGATTCATATTTCCATTATAATAACTCCTTGTGTAGTGTACAAAGAGGATGTAATTCTCAAAAGCATGAAATTCTGGAGAACTAAGGTAAATTTACTATTATAGTACTCTGCTTTTATATCTAAATCTGTATAAAGTGAATATAGAATGTTCATTTACATATTATACTTACTGTTTTCCGGAGGCATTGGCGAAAGCGGTTGTTGATGTTTGTTGTCCCGTGATCAGAGAAGTAGTGACATTTCTGCACTCCAATCCCAAAATGCTTAGTTTCAAGCCCATTATAGTTACCAGTAAAACAATTCATTACTTATTATTCACCAGCTCACCTCTTTATTTGTATCAGCGAAATTAACAATGCAAAAAAAAAAAAAAAAAAGAGAGACAAATGACACATGTATGGTTGAATAAAGAGAGATGCTGGAAGAAATTATGGGTAGACCTCAATTATAAAAAAAATTAAAATGCAAAGTTGTTTCAAAAGTTTAAAATCATAGCAATGTTGTCTTTCTGGTTAATGTCACAATTTTACCAGTGGGGGAAAACATTGCTACGATTTCAGGACAAATTTACATCCAAAATTGTTTTTACATACTCAATGCTTATATGATAAAAAATTTTGGGACGAAATTGTACTTTAACTCATAAAGGTATGTGTAAACCAATTGGATGTTATTCTGTTTCTCTTTTGATTGTTCTGATAACAGTTTCACTAAATGGCATATCCATGTTGCAATGATAAGGACCTATAGATTTGAAGGGAAAATGACATTTGAGTTTCAAATGATAAAATTAATAACAGATCTCAAAAAAAGGTTTCTGAAAGATGAGTTGCACAGAAGAATCTCAGTTGCAAATCAAGAATCACACTAGAAATTTAAATGCTCTACTTGTAATTGAGACTCTTAAAATTTATCAGGAAGCTGACCATCTTTCTTCCTAGATTTTATATGCGCATCTATAAAAGATCTCATAGATAGATTACCCCAGAAGTTGCAAGTGTTGTTGACGAAGGATGTGGCCAATGCCAAGAGTGTCTAAAGCTTTCCAAGCATTTGTCCATGTTGTGAGAGCAAATCCTGTGACCCTCAAATTGTCTGAAGATTCTAAAACCAAACTTCGGACGCCTAGCCTGCATGGTTATTTGTATTAAAAAAATAATAGCTTACATAATTAAAATATTAAAAAAATTAATTATTTTGACATTTTATGGATTTTACTAAAATTACAATGATTTTCTTTTGTTTGGGGAATTAATATAAACTTCAAAATTTTCGTAGTACTTGTGCAAGTTCTTCTTTTGGTCCTAATTCCTAAAACTTATACAAATCTTGATTATAATAAGAAGTTTGAAATCACACTTTTAACCTTTTTCTTTATCTTAAAAGAGCGATATGAAATTCAAAAAAAAAAATCTAGAAAAAATTACCATGAGGTTCAAAGAAAATAATGTAATCACAAAAAATCACAATGGTAAAATAGCAGTATGAACTTCTTGTCATTTCTTATACTGTAATTTGTCATTCATTTGTTATAGGACATTTTAATAATTATATTTTCTTCTTTGAGACCACATAGTATTTTTTTTCCATAACTAAATAAATTTTTTTAATTTATTATTTATTTTCTTCAAAAAAATCACTAAGATTTGTGTACTTCAATATATATATATATATATATATAGTTTTTCACAGGGCGAAAACACACAACGGGGAGATTAGACTTAGTAGGTAGTACCTGTGAAGTCCCAAGGAGGTTGCAAGGCCTGCAATTCCAGCTCCCACAATCACAATATCTTCAACTGTTGATTCCATCTTATCAACTTTCAGGCGTGGGAGATCAGAATCTTATCTGGTTTAGCTCTTCTGCTTTCTGAATCTGAGGTTGTGAATTCTTTGATTGTGATTGAGTGCGATAATGAGTGTGTGTGTGTGTGTATATACACGCTCGTGAAGAGACATGATGATGGTAGAGTTGGAAGAAGACGTAAGCGATGATGAAGAGGCTGCGAGAGCAATAATTGAATATTCTATATCTAATGATGAAAGCCAATACGTTTGCCTTTCTCCCATGTGTTCGACGGCATATCCATGTGACGGCTAATAATAGATACGGCTAATACGAGGTATCCAGATTAGATTTTGATGGTCCAAATTTCACGAGCTTTAGATACTCATCAAGTGACGTGCACTCAAACTCATTTGTAATATTTTATCCGATTATTATTTTGAGTTTCAAATAACTAATGTGTATTATGAAAAATTAATTAAAAGCAATAAATATATTAGAAATATATTTTTGAATGCAAATACATTCATATAATAAATCAGAAAAAAGATGAAACTCATGAAAGAGCATGTATTAGTAAATGTGATAAGAGAAAGTATGACAAATGGAAGAGAATAAATAATTAAAGTCGATATTGAAAAAAATGTATTAGATATTTAGACAAACCTATATTAAAACTTATAAAATAGATCATATATCTCTCTAAATTTAAAGCTTATAAATAGAATTGGAAGGAGTAACGTCAGTTTTTTTTTTGTTAGTATATTATTTAAGAACATGTATAAATTTAATTTTAGACAATACTTAGGCCAATTTTTTCTGTTAGTATTTTTTTTTTTTTAAGTGAAGCCTAATGTACCCACCATCAATAGTGGTGACTAATCTTTTTAGATCGTAGGCTTTGCAGAAGAGTTTTAGTATTGGTTACAAAACCTTACAACCTTACCCGTATGTTAACATAAGAATTTTTAGAGCTTATATATGGATTTATTTTCTTATATAAATGGAAAGATTTGTTCTGTTTTTTCAAGTAATCCATGTGCACCGGCATAACGCAATGAATGCAAAATATAAACATTTAATATATTTTAAATATTTTTTTAAAAATTAATCCTACTTTTAGTCATTAATATAAAAGCTAATTTAACTTTTATTTTATTTTTAAATATAAGATGTCAATTCACTTTGTCTCTCATATTTATTATTTTTTTCTAAGATAGTATTTGCAATAATTGTAGTTCTAGTCAATACAGCTTATGAGCAATAATATGTTAAGAGAGACAATACTTATTTATTATAAATAATTAACTTAACTATTTTTTTTAATTTATATAAATTAGTCAATTAGTTCTTATAAAAAGACAAAAGCTATTATTTAAGATATGCAGGTGTGAGAAATTTCTCATGATATATTGTTCTGTTTCAGATGCGAGATATTTTATCTAAAACATATGAAGAAAAAAATATTTAAACAAATAAGATTTCAAATTTTAAATAAATACAATTTTGTGACTGTTTAGGGCACGAAAATTTAAGAACACTGACATTTACATTGATGTCACGCCAAATTTAGACAAAACAAATGGTCAGAATATTGATATTTTATGTAAGTGGGAGAAGCTTACCCACCCTGCTCTGCTGGACCAATTAGGAGTAAGGAGATTGGAACACGCTACAGCAACGGTACGACCTTTATGCGTAGGGGAATAAAAATTAGGAAAAATTCCAGAAAAAGTCCCTTGAATATATGAAATCCCAGATTGGGTCATGGAATTTCCAAAATGACAGAAAGGGTCAGTGACCCAATCTGTCATTTGTGAAATTAAGACCAATTGACAATTTTGCCCCTGACTAAGTGAGTAGTTATTCTCTATACAAATCTAGGTAACACTTACACTGTTCTAGTGATTACAAGATTAGTTGTAGTTAATAATTACAAGATTAGTTGTAGTTAATAATAAGGTGCCTGACTATGAAAAAGTGAATAGTTATTCTCTACACGAATCTAGGTAATACTTACATTGTTCTAGTGATTACAAAATTAGTTGTAGTTAATAACAAGACACCTAAATATGAAAAAACGAGTAGTTATTCGCTACATGAATCTAGGTAATGCTTAAACCCTTATAGTGATTTCTTAAATCATTGTAGTGAATGAATATAAATGAGGGCAAAATTGTCAATTCCTCTTGATTTGCAAAATGACAGATTGGGTCACTGACCCTTTCTGTCATTTTGGAAATTCCAGGACCCAATCTGAAATTTCATATATTCGAGGGACCTTTTCTGGAATTTTCCCTAAAAATTACGTTTTCTTTATTTTATTCTAAATATAGGAGTTATTTTCCCGATTCAGACTCACATGGTTCCTTTTATGTGGTATATTAAGGAGTTTTTTGTTGTTGGGAATATTGTTAAATAAACTTTTAAAATTATGAAATTACAAATAAAAAAAGACAGAAAAATAATAAGTAAATTTCATAATACCAAAAACATCACCTGAATTTGAGAAATCCCAATTTAGTCACAAGTGATCCATTTAGAATTTATAAATTTGCTAAAAGGACCATATTAGCATTCATTTTGTTCTGTTTTTTCAAGTAATCCATGTGCACCGGCATAACGCAATGAATGCAAAATATAAACATTTAATATATTTTAAATACTTTTTTTAAAATTAATCCTACTTTCAGTTATTAATATAAAAGCTAATTTGACTTTTATTTTGTTTTTAAATATAAGACATCAATTCACTTTGTCTCTCATATTTATTCTTTTTTTTTCTATGATAGTATTTGCAATAATGGTAGTTCTAGTCAATACAGCTGATTATCAATAATATTTTAAGAGAAACAATATCTATTTATTATAAATAATTCACTTAACTATTTTTTTTAATCTGTATAAACTAGTCAATTAACCATTATAAAAAGACAGAAGCTATTATATAAGATGTGCAAGTGTGAGAAATTTCTCATGATATATTGTTCTGTTTCAGATACAAGATATTTTATCTAAAACATATGAAGAAAAAATATTTAAACAAATAGGATTTCAAATTTTAAATAAATACAATTTGTGACTGTTTAGGGCACGAAAATTTAAGAATACTGACATTTACTTTGATGTCACGCCAAATTTTGACAAAACAAATGGCCAGAATATTGATATTTTATGTAAGTGGGAGCTTCTTATCTACCCTGCTCTGCCGGACCAATTAGGAGTAAGGAGATTGGAACACGCTACAGCAACGGCACGACCTTTATGCATGGGGAAAAAAAATTAAGTTTTTTTATTTTATTCTAAATATAGGAGTTATTTTCCCGATTCAGACTCACATGGTTACTTTTATAAGTGGTATATGAAGGAGTTTTTTTTTTTGGGGAATATTGTAAAAAAAAAACTTTTGAAATTATGAAATTACAAAGAAAAAAAGACAGAAAAATAACAAGTAAATTTCATAATACTAAAAACATCACCTGAATTTAAAAAATCTCAATTTAGTCACAAGTAACCCGTTTGGAATTTATAAATTTACTGAAATGACCATATTACCATACATTTTATTTACTATTTTTAAAAAACCAAAACCCTCATTGGCCAGCCAGTTGTTGGAGCCCCGGTGCTGGCAACAACGGCCATCATCAAAGCTCCAACGACTGGCCGATAATTGGTCACCGGAGCTCGGGTGGCTGAAAACAATTTTTTTTTGAAAATTTTTACAATTTTAGTATAACAGTTAACAACTTTTGTAATAATATTAACAATTTCAATATAGCAGTTAGCAACAAGTTTTTCAGAAAATTGAAAAAGTAGCATTTTTACAACTTCAGAAATACCATTAACTAATTCCGTAATTATATTAACAATTTCGGTATAGTATTTAACAACAGGTTTTCTTAAAAATTAAAAAAATAGTATTTTTACAACTTTAACAACTACTTTTTTTTTTGGAAAAATTTTTACAATTTCAATATAACTTTAACAACTTTTGTAATGTTATTAATAACTTCAATATAGTAGTTAACAACAGGTTTTCATAAAAATTCAAAAAAATGGGATTTTTACAACTTTAGCAACTACTTTTTTTTTTTGAAAATTTTTACAACTCTAGTATAATGATTAATAACTTTTGTAACGTTATTAACAATTTCAGTATAGTAATTAACAACAGGTTTTTTGAAAAATTCAAAAAATGACATTTTTTTCAGTATAGCATTTTTTACAACTTCAGTAACGCCGTTAACAAGTTTTGTAACTCTATTAACAATTTCGGTATATCATTTAATAACAGGTTTTCTTAAAAATTAAAAAAATGACATTTTTATAACTTTAACAACTACATTTTTTTTGGAAAATTTTTTACAATTTCAGTATAATAGTTAACAACTTTTATAATACTATTAACAACTTTAGTATTGCAGTTAACAAGAGGTTTTTCAGGAAATTCAACAATTACTCCAACGGCTAGAAACAATTTTTTTTTTGGAAAATTTTTACAATTTCAATATAACGGTTAAAAACTTTTGTACCACTATTAACAATTTCAGTATAGCAGTTAATAACAGATTTTTCAAAAAATTCAAAAAGTAGCATTTTTACAACTTCAATAATGCCGTTAATAAGTTCTGTAACTATATTAATCAACTTTGGTATAGCATTTAATAACAGGTTTTCTTAAAAATTCAAAAAAAAAAAGCATTTTTGCAACTTTAGCAACTACTTTTTTTTTAAAAAAAATTTATAACGTCAGTATAACGATTAACAACTTTTGTAACGTTATTAATAATTTCAATATAACAGTTAACAACAGGTTTTCATAAAAATTAAAAAAAATGGCATTTTTACAACTTTAGCAACTAACTTTTTTTTTTGAAAATTTTTACAACTTTAGTATAATGATTAACAACTTTTGTAACGTTATTAACAAGTCCAGTATAGCAGTTAACAATAGGTTTTTTCAAAAATTCAAAAAGTAGCATTTTTACAACTTCAGTAATGCCGTTAACAAGTTTCGTAACTCTATTAACAACTTCAGTATAATATTTAACAACAGGTTTTATTAAAAATTAAAAATTCAAAAAAAATGGCATTTTTATAACTTTAACAACTTTTTTTTTGTTGAAATTTTTACAACTTCAGT